GTTTTTTTTTTACGTTTCACTGCAGTTCACTATTTCTGTCTTTTATTTTACTTTTTCAGCATTTAAATTTTCTTTTATTTTTCTTTGGTCAAAGTTGACATTAGTCAACAAATTTTAAAAAAATAAAGAACATAACGGTCGAGCAAAAATGGACCGTTAATTCACATAAATTGAGGTAAAGGGACTACATTTTTTTTAAGGACTAAAATTGGGCATCAAAACATAATAGGGATTAAGTCTGGATACCCCTAAACATGGAGGACTAAAAGTGGATTTTTCCCAATTATAGGGACTACATTTTTTTGTTTTAAGCACTAAAATTGGGCACCAAAACATAATAGGGACTCAGTCTGGATACCCCCTAAACATGGAGGACCAAAAGTGGACCTTCCCCAATTTTTTTTGTTTAATTTTGACATAATAATTTGACATAAAATATTATATATAAAAAGCAATAGCCTTTGATGATTGTTGATTTTAGAATAATTTGATGCATAATATAACACGAACGTACTGCGTGTGTATTATTTAAAAACATTAAATTCCTACATATAAAATTTATATATAATCAAACAGATACATATCAGTATTATATTCTATTGTGATCATGTCATACGAATCACCCGAATTACCATGTTTAACAAATGCTTTTATTCCTTGGTTTTACTCTCACTTTTTTTTTCTTTTCCTTTTTATTTCAGTGTCATTATCTAATTGTATTATCAAGCCATACAAATCACAAGGAAAACTAGAAAAAATTTAATTGCTTGATTGTGAAGCATGCCTATGCTTTAGTGTGAGTGAGTGTAAAATTAATTTTCTCATTAATTTGTATCTTAATATTTCCTTAGATGAAAATATTTCCTTGGTGGACCATAAAATGTGTCACAATCCAAGTCCTTATCAGATAGGGCATTATGGTTTTTGCCAGGTCACGCAGTAGCCCCAAAATGGTTTGGTGCTAAAGAGCTTTGTACTCCTTAAGAAAAAACACCAAATACATATTATTGTGCTTTTCTGCGTCTGTGGTAATAACTTGTTTTGCTTTCTATTTTTGGATACAAAGAGTGGTTTCAAAGCAAAAAAGTTCAATCACTACGTGAAGGGGAATCCCAACACCCACTCCATTATTATTTCATATTTTTAGCTCAAGTTATATTCTAGTATTGGTTATCAAAATATGATGACAATATATATATGTGATATTAATTAATACCTTCTGCACGTATAAAAAAATAATATGTATAAGTAGTGTTCAGAGTCAAAATTATTTATTGAAAACAACATATTTTATGAAATCTAATTATAGTTTAATCATGTATTCTGAACATTTAATGGTATTATAAAATGTCAATGTTACTATATTTTGACAAAAATGTCAATGGATCGAGCGAGCATTGTGCTTTCGTAATTTATCGCAATATATAATTACCTCGAAAAAACTTGGCGATTCCTACTTAGACTAACCACATATAAAAAATACAGATTATGTAAATCATAATGGATGCTATATAATTAAAGTATTTATAAGTAAAATAAAGTTGATAAAAATAGCAGTATAGCTCTACATGCACAGTTAAAATTATAGAATCGATTAAGTGAGAGGATTCGTAATTCAATGTGTTACTTTGTGATGCTAACGAAGCAGTCTGTATAAGCTTAAACTTTTATTCATGCCTATTATGACTATTAAAATTATAAAATATTTGTTTAGTTTAAATTTATATGAAAACTTGATAACTTTTTATTTGTTATCAGTTTTTATATGTACGTATAGTATATCAAATTAATCATGCTTTTATTTTATACATTCATTTTGCATATATATATAATAAAAAAAAAATAATAATCACATATACATTTATGAATGAGTCTTGGTAGGAGTAATTTTAAATAAAAATATTAATGATTTTTTAAGAAATATTTACAAATTCACAACAAATTTTTCTTTTAAGAAAATAAGTATAATATTTTCAGTTGACACTTGTTTGTTAAACGTGAATTGTACTACTATGCATATATATATACTAGTTGGATACCGGCTGTGTCCAAATTTATTCTATAATCAAATGAAATTTGGTGTAAGTTAANAATTTATTGAACCTTTTCCATGAGTACCTACTGATCCAACAACGAATTCCTCCAAATCCTCCATTTTTGGACCTTCACACCAACGTTTTCCTTTGGAAAAAAACATATTTTAAACAAAGTGAAAAAAAAAGGTAATAAAATTAGCAGGGGAACATAGATTTAACAGACATTGAGAAATATATGCTAAGAACATAGCTAAAGATGGCCTCTTTGGCAACATAAAAGTATGAAGCGAATGCAACATAAAAATGCTAGCTAAATGAATTCGTCCCTTTCAGTGTTTTAATCCATTTGCCCCATTTCTGTACAAATCTTTGAACATCACGGCAACAAATATAATCTCTCTGTTATTTCAAGAAAAAGAATGAAATATAATCAAAAGCAGGAAAAAAAAGAAGATGAAAAACCCTTTAATGACGCTTGTTGAATATGGATAGATGGGTCAAGAATTTAAAGCACGTGGAGTGTGTTCGCCGGTTGCGGCCGAGCTCAGTCGAATCCTTGCCAGCTGCAACAACATGCTCTCGCACCAGGAGCTCTTATTTTTTGTTTAAGGCCGTCTTTTAGGCCTACCACGCTTTCTCACGGTTCTTCCAGTATCTCTCAATGGCTTACAGACCAAAGATAACTTTCATAATCATGTCAAAAATTGTGTTATATGAGAATAAGAAAAGAAATATTAGAAGATATCATTTACAACAAATTCTTGGATGACATTTTACACTAATTCTTAAAGATATAAAAAAGCCTTTGNNNGCACCGTTTTATATTAACCAAATACTAATTAGAACGCATTTTAAATATCAGGGTTTTGGTATATAATAAAATTACGATGAGCTATTACCAACTATAGTAAAAACATGGCAGTAAAAATGTACAACACTGAAACTAATCCAAGAAAACCAAAATCCAAAATACGTAGGAGCATGACTGAAACCTTTAAAAATGTTCTTGGGTAGGAAGAACATACTGGGATGGGAGGCAAGGGTTTCTTGTTGTTTTTCACTCATCTGTTGTCTGGTCGATGGTTCTGGTGGGGCCCCACAAGTGTTGTAACGTAACATTGGGCCAATGATTTTCCAGGCCTTGAAGCTCCTCTAGCTGAGATAGAACCAAATTATTCTCAGTAAATGACTGAAACACCCGATGGGAGAAAAAATAAAGCAACGGAAAGGCAAATGAACAATATGAAAAATAATGCGGACCTCAAATCTATCTTTGTATATAATTCAAGAATATCATTTCGCAAAGTATGTTAATCGTTAGTAAGATTCACTTTAAAGTTTAAAGTGCCATTCATTACCTTGGATACTTGGCGGAACTTAAGCAGGTAACCTTGACATCACAAGAAGTACAGAAGACCGATCAATTTGTGGCTTCTCGACTTGCTTGTTAATTCAGCACTTTGAAAGATCATAGGCAATATCTGTCGTGCTTTGATTTGATCTGTCTGAGTACACTACAACCGGCCTGTTCGAAAACAACTCTTAGTGCCAACTTTTAACGAAATTAATACGAGGCAAAGCTCAAATGCCAAAACTTAAACAACAACAACAACAATATAGCCTTTAGTCCTAAGCAAATCGGGGTAGGCTAGAGATGAAACCCAAGAGAAACACGAAAAAGACTCGAACCAAAAGGAATAGATCGAAAAAAGAGAGAGAGAGAGAGAGAGAGAGAGAGAGAGAGAGAGAGGAAGGAGCCAAAGTCACGGTTCTGGCATGTTAATAGCGAGCCTCCAAGCGCTCCTATCCACCGCTAAATCCTTGGAGATATTCCAATCTTTAAGGTCTCTCTTAACCGACTCTTCCCAAGTGAGTTTAGGCCGACCTCTACCTCTCTTAACATCCTCGACCCGCTGTAGAACTCCCCTACGCACCGGTGCATCAGGAGGCCTCCGTTGGACATGTCCGAACCACCTCAGCCGATGTTGAACCAATTTCTCCTCAATTGGAGCCACCCCGACCTATCTCGAATATTCTCATTCCGGATTCTATCCCTTCTTGTGTGCCCGCAGAACCAACGCAACATACTCATCTCTGCTACACTTAGTTGTTGGACATGTTGCCTTTTTGTAGGCCAACATTCAGCACCGTATAGCATCGCCGAGCGAATTGCCGTCCTATAGAACTTACCTTTTAGCCTTTGTGGCACCCTCTTATCACAGAGAACGCTCGACGCCTGACGTCATTTCAACCAACCGGCTGCAATTCTATGCCTAACATCAGCATCAATGCCAACATCCTTTTGTAGCATCGATCCCAAATACCAAAACTTAAAATAATGGGAAAAACAATTGTAGAAGTGACCTGGGCAGAGAAGATGAATGTTGTCTCTCGAGTGAAGAAGCCGCTTCGTTTCTTTAACGCTCTTCAAGAAATGCAAATTGCTTCTTGAATTTGTCAACGACACTATATAGAAGATACTGATAAAATCCCAAATCATCACAAGAAAATAGGATTTGTTGCTTGTAAATCACATTTAAAGCTTAAAAACCAAAGAAAATAAATAGGGAAAAATAAGAAGCGAAGCATGATAATTCAAACAAGTGTTCCAAAGGTTATTCAACATATAAACCCGATAGTGATGATAATTATTGAAAATTGGGAGCAAGCAATTGCTTAAACTATAGTGATATATGAACTCAAGAAGCATGTGTTTCATACTAAATCTCCAGTTTAGGTTAGGTACCTCGGATACATAAAACTCGTGGGTTCAGCTCCCTCCAGGTACTCTTTCAACATCTTCAGGTGATATTCAAGAATTTCGCGATATATCAACTCTTGGACATCATCTTTTGTGATCCTTCTCCTTTCAAATTCAAATTCCATTTTGATCACTGGTTGTGTTGAAGGCTCTCTCTCAACCCTAGCCAGGTGCCGGAAGTATAGATCTTCAAGAGCCTAATAGCTCAAAATAATATTAATTTTATCAATTTAAATTGGGCTTCGATATATTTAACCTCTTTGGCAGAAGGTCTATCATTCGGGTCAAAAGCGAGCATTCTTTCTAACAATCATAGGGCCAATGGGTCAGTATTCGGCAATTTGAGGGAATCGCCTTCTTCTTTCTCATGCTACTTAAGTATCTCCTAGCCTTTTTGTTTCTTATCTGGCACATGATAGTGTATGATAAATAAATTAATAAGCTATTCTTCAGAGTTAAATTAGAAAAGAAAAAGAAAATGAAACATGAATATACCCTTGCAATGGTTTCAGGAGGTGGAGTGCCCAACAGATCAGCCATCAGGTCTAAAAGATGAATCACATTTTTACCAGGAAATAATAGTTTCCCAGTGAAAAGTTCATCAAATATGCAGCCAACACTCCAAATGTCAATGGCAGGTGTATACTGTATGAAAGAAGCAAAGAAAAAACAGGTAAATTAATAAAAAAATCATGAAGGACAATAGGTTTTGCAACCCTTAAGAATCATGGATCATTACCTTAAAGAAAAAAGAGCCACACAATTCGGGAGCTCTGTGCCACCTAGTTGCAACAAAATCCTTAATAAAGGCAGAAAAAGATGATTCATTATTATGCAGCTTCAGATGCAAATTACCTAGTTGCAACAAAATCCTTAATAAAGGCAGAAAAAGATGATTCATTATTATGCAGCTTCAGATGCAAATTACATATAGATTTGATCGTCCTTTTTTTCTGACCGAAGCGGCGTGTCGCCGACAGCAAATATTTTCATCACTCCGACTACCAACCAAAGAGTGCGACCCACCTGTCGTTCGATAGCGTCGTCGGTGGACGGACACTTGAGGTCGCCTGGGTTCGTCGGAGCAGCTGAGGAGACGATCTGGTTGCGGAAAGAGGTAAGTAAGGTTGTCACCGATTTATGTTTTGATTTGGTACGAATATGTGAAAGAAGGGAGAGGAGAGTTGCGTGTTTTGACTTTATAGTTCCTTGCTGTGTACAACTATTCTTAACAATTAAGATAGATATGTTAAACGGCGTCGTTTCACCAAAGATTGAAAAATGAGAAAGCAAAGCAGTGAAAAGAGGGCCACGTGGACGCCAAAAACTCCCTTCCAAGCACAAGAATGATGCCACGTTTCAAGCTAATATTGTCTCACATTTTTTCTTATAAGAATACTAGGAATCTCTCGGTTGTGCGATGCACAACCAGCCCATGGAATCCGAAGTGCTTTACATTGAGTTAGAAAATAACCATGACAGAATATGTTGAAAGTTCCTGTGCTTCATCGCAACCATATCTGTCCATTCTCCAAACTCCATGTCCTATTTGTGAATTACCATACTTGTGCTTTCTCCGAACTCCAATAATCTTGTTTCTGTATTTGGAATAAATAGTTCAACTAAGAAAAGTGTATTACAAAAGAAAATCTAATGCAATAATTCTATATAATAAACTACAACATAATATAGAAGGTTGAGTTATGCATTTATCTGTAGAATAATGAATGAGGAAATTGAAACATCACTAAAAATAAGAAACAAAACAAACTTAAAAAAAAAATAATGGACTTCCATAGAGATCTACCCAAACTCCACACACAACAATATGAGGGCACTAAGAAAAACCATAATATATCCAAATGAGTCACTGTAACTTTTGAAAGTTCACAATACTCTCCTTGACAGCCCTTATAGTGCTTGCATTATTCTCTTTAGAAGCCTCACGATGCCCCGTCTACGATACCATCCCATCCAGGGAGTTCCAAGACTAAAAAATAAACTTGCTCTTTGCTTGATCTCTTCAGTCTCATTAGAAAGAATAGTGGGCAACTAAATGAGGCTACGCCAAAACTGTGGAAAACAAAAAGGGCAAATTGGCCGGAACATTTCCCCACTCTCCTTTATTACCGTTTCATGAGTCCCATATAGAAACACAACATATTAATTAACACAAAGAAAATGCCTTTGAGCATTCAAAGTATTCGATATTGAACTCCCATTCCTAAGTTTCAAAAAGAAAGAAATGTTCACAATTCCTCATGTACAAGCATCTTTGACACATTCATATTACTTATAATAAGAAAAAAAATCTCATTAAATGAAACACTCATATAACATACATGCTATCACTCATATTTCAGAAATACATAAATTTTTCCTTTTTGCACTTTTTTTGTCATTTTCTTTCCTTTCCCATCCCTTACACATGTATAATGAATGAGATCAAGAATAAAAGGGGCCAACTTGCCTCAATTTGCCATCCTTCGATCTCTTAGCCCTCTGGACAGGGGCCAACTTTCTTCTCCTCCATCTTTTGGACTTTGGAGCATGTTTATTGTTTATTATCCATTTACTCGTCCATTTTATCCTCGTTTCACTTAATCCAAAAAAATTAAACAATTAGTCATACAACAAAAGAAGGTTAAACTTTAATAATTAAATAATTATAGAAGCAGGAAATTTGAATTATGCTTTTAGAACTAAAAGTAATAATAATAATAATAATAATAATAATAATCAAGAGGACAATGCATGCATTGATTACGAAATCCAATATTTATTTGGAATCTAAATATATAAAAACAAGAGTGTAAATTGTAAAGAAAAACATGAGTTCATCATCATCTTTACCTTAATTCTTAACAGTTGTACATTGATCGGTTGAATTCATCTCCCTCTCTTATGCAAACTATACCAGGAAAATTAAGTCATTCAAAAATGGCCAAACAAATTTTATGAAGAGGCAATTTAAAAGGGAAAAAAAAAAACTAAAGAAAATAATGAATGGACAAAAAATTACTAATAAGCAAAATTTATTATACATATATGGGTTATAAGGGAAAAACCCTTGATCGGGCAAAACATTCATATAAAAAAAGATGCATTAAGAAAGAGAATATATGACAAAACTCATAAGGAGTTCTATAATTGGTGTTACCACAGTGGACACAACCATGAGTAGGTCAACATTTAACAAGCATATCCAACAATATTAGTGAACAGAGGAAAAGAAAAGTGATAATGATAAGAACGACAACATGACGGTCGGAAAAAATAATAAAGTTGTGGTACCTGCAATGGGTCGACAACATTAGTGAGGAAGAAATTGAAATCGAGCGGTACTGAAATCCAATTGTGCCTCTGCGAACTTTGAAGGCCGACAGGCTGTCGTTGGATCACAGAGCGAAGCTTATATGCGGGCCAACCCGATTGGTTGGGACTCACCATCTCCGGAAACGACCAGCACCAGGTCTGTCGAAACTGAGTCGTTCCCTTTGTCTGCAAGCTGGGGATATGAAAAACTGAGGAAAGAATTTCCTCTTAGAAAACGAAACTCTATTTTCGATCAGATGAAAAAGACACTCGAATAGATGGGAAGAAAAGAAGAAGTGGATGAGATGGGTTGTTAGAAAAATATATCAGAATGGTATTATCAAAAAAGGGAAGCAAAATAGGCCCAATAAAGGCCCAAAAAAATAAAAACACAAGGTACATGTAGGAGTTGTAAGGTGTACACGTGGCATTTCATGAAGAAGCGCAACCGCCCTTTATTAAGATGTAGACCAGGAATCTCTTGGTCAACCGACCCATAATACCAAAGTATTTATGTTTGAAGACGGTATTGTCAAATTTCAAAACAAATGGATCCAAAATTGCATAAAAACACGACCGTCAAAGAACTTATGTTCACAAACACACCTAAAATCATTGATAAAATAAGCAAATTATATGACAAAAAATTGATCTCGCAAGACTGTGAAAACACAATTTTTAGTCTTCAAAATCAAACATAATTGATCAAACATTATTTCTGTGATGACCAATTTGTCGTAACAGCCTCCACACTAATTAAGTGGTTTACAAACTATTTGTTTTGTTTGTGTAATTAGTTTGACAACAAAGGGCCGCCAATTAGCTCAATTTTCAGCACGTACGGACTCCCAACTTATTTTGTAATAGATAGAGATATTTTTTCAAGTGTGTTAAAAATTTATAATAACATCTCATTATTGAGAAACAATTACTTACAACAATTTCCTTTTAAAGACGATACATTTTTCTTTTGAAAGTAGATAACATACTTACCATTAAATAAATTATGATATACCAACAAATGAATAGGAACTTACGGACGAAAAGTGAAAAGTGAAAAATAGTTTCTCATATCCAAAGTTATTCACGTTTAAGGCCGGTGTAAAATTTTTTAAGATAATAAAAAAATATCTAGTAACAAATTGAAAATATTAAATATTAAAAGAAAAAAAATATCCCATAAATAAAAATATCCCAAAACTGTACATGAGAGAGCTAGTGATGGGCCACTTTGCATAAAAGTAGATAGATCAAGTCCTTTTAAAAATAAGTTGAAAAATTAAATACTAATCCAATAAATAAATAAATAAATAAACTTAGCCCAAATAACAAAGCTCCAAAATGATCTTATTATCAGGCAAAACATGTAGAAAATTGTGGCTTAGTCACGTGGCATGCTGATGAAATCTTTAATTTTCCAACTCATATCATATGAGTGGTTTGATATATAAAGTTATTAAATTTATTAGTAATTATTTCATTATTAAATTTATTAGTCATTATTTCATTATCACCCAATAATTTAAAATAAAAATTTCTCTTTTTTAAGTATAAAATTTGTATGAACTCATAAGAGTATTGTTATACTAATATTTATCTTATTAATGAAACCCTCAATTTCCAACTTATATCCATATCTTATTAACTAACAACACAAAGGCCTCAACAAAAAGGAAGATAGATTAAAAAAAACAAATTAAGTATATTATTTTCTAAATATTCAGTATAAATTTTTTCAATTATTTTAACGGTTGCAAAAAAGTTTGTCATCACATATAAAATGAAAAATTAGGATAATTAGCCTTTACAATTTATTAATGTTTTAAACAAAAAATCACATAACGACTCGAGTTTCTCATCAAGTTCCTTATCTCTAAAAGATGAACTCCTTCAGGAATCCTTTCCGTATCAACCTCTCGATCTCATCATTGAGCTCCTTACAATTGTTCGTGGTGTGCACTTCATCCCTATAATAGCGACAATATACCTCGGGTCGACCGGTGTGGACCCCACACCTCATCTCCTAGAACTCATATGACAACTCAACGTCGAGGATCTCATCTAAAAACGGGTGCCCAGAAAACCACAGACCTCGACGCCCGTCAATCGTCTCTTGTAGCTAGCGCAACTGGGCTACCATACAACCTAGAGCTGGATCTCGCCTGGCATGTGAAGCAATACTGTGAGAGTTGATCGATCACTGTGGCTCCTCCTCCCTTATTCTAACCGCAAGAGGCTTGTTGACAGGTCAGAGGGTAGCCTCTGGCTATGCTAGCGTATGACGTGTATGTGCTACCACCGCCTCGGCGATTATTCTCTCCAACTATGTCTGATTGATTTGGATGGTCTACTTTACTCGACATCCGCCCGTACCTCTATCTCCACCAGCCCCATCTATTTTGCGTGAATTATGATCCCTTCCATACCTTTCTCGGTCTCTGTTTCCCTCACGCTCCGTTTGTTTTGAGGGATTTGAAATCTCTTGATTTTAAATTTTTGAAATATTATTTTTTTTAGTTGCACACTCCTTGAATGGATGTGTTGAAAATATTATAGGAGAAGCAATATTTATAGAGAATACAAATTTCATGGTATATTAATTATTTTTATGGATTCGGTTTTTTTTTCCCACGTGAGGGTAGTTCGAGTGATTATTCCAAAGATAATATCCCCAATGGAAAGTTACTAAACGATCTCACCTTTGTCCATTGATCATCTGATAAAGAAGGCCAGATATGGTGGGGCTCAGTGGTGATAGTCTTGTCAGGCTTTAGCAACAATTTTGCCTTCACATTGTTGACACAAAGAGCTTGCAAAATCAAAATCAGCCTGCAGAAAGGTGTGTAAGACGATATAGTTGCAACCAATCGTCATATATGTTGAACAAGACCATCTGCGGCTCTGTGGCCTTCAGGATCAGATCACCAAATTTATGAATCTTCAAGCAGGCCTGGAATGGCAGTTGAAGCTCACTTCCTTTGATTACGATATTTGGGAAATCAAGCAAGTGCACTTCAAGAGGATCCAACATTCCATTCCGTGTCACAATGATTTGTTCCGGTTGCTTTTCAACAGGCAAAGGCCGGATGAGAGCAGCAACTTCTTCAGCAGTTTTCCACTTGGCCAGATGACCAAGACGCTTTTGTCCAGCCCATACACTCGTGTGAATGACCTGAACAAGCACAACAGAGTAAAGTGATAAGTTCTATGTCCAAACTGCATTATAATGAAAATGGAAACCAAGTAAGCAGCACTCAGAAAACAAACCTTCAAAAATAGTAGCCCAGTTCTCGGGTTAAATATGAAAATGGCACCGTTGAAGGGTTCTGTCGTAAGATTTCCCTTAGATGTGTTGTGTATCGTGACACAATACACATTCGTGTCATCCACAAACCAGATTATCCGATTCCTGAATATCTCCCCATAATTTTGAGATGAAAAGTAAGGTTCTGTAGGTTCCGAAGAATACAATTGTAGCCCTTTTCTAATGCGCTCTCTTAAAACATACAGGGCTGGATTAGACTGCATGCACAAAAATGCATATATAATTAGCCAAGTATATTTTCAATCATAAATAATATCTTGTTTAGAACTGCAATAAAGATTACAAGTTAAACCGCAACTCGGAATATATAAAATATAAATGTATATAACCTTCATGATCTTGTTCATGGCCTTAGAAAGTAAAGGCTTCAACTCACTGAACCAATTTCCATACGTAGAATACAGATTATAAGTAAATCAATTGCAATTAGGACCCCTGCAAATAACATAATACGAGTTAAAAATTTAATATGTACAACAATTATCATAATAGATGACATAAACTAAAATCATACCCGTTGGCGATGGATAGGTCATCGTATTGTCTGCAATATAGTCTATATACCTCAGTATAGTCTATATACCTTGCCCAGGTGTACTGCTCAATATTATGGCCCATATCAAAAGCCTAGTTTTGTTGCCAACTCAAATATGTGTTTAACGAAAAAGATAGTAGTAATAAGTACTGGATAGACGTGAATAATAAGTACTTATTACTACTATCTTTTTCGTTAAACACATCGTTTGACTTGGCAACAAAACTAGGCTTTTGACATGGGCCATAATATTGAGCAGTACACCTGGGCAAGGTATATAGACTATACTGCAGACAATACGATGACCTATCCATCGCCAACGGGTATGATTTTAGTTTATGTCATCTATTATGATAATTGTTGTACATATTAAATTTTTAACTCGTATTATGTTATTTGCAGGGGTCCTAATTGCAATTGATTTAGCTTATAATCTGTATTCTGCGCTTCACGTCTATGACAGGGTTAATCGCCGATTCTGGGCCTGTGCTTCCTGCCTCTTCAATGCATACTCAGCCCAAACACACTGAGAATCAATGAACTCGTTCTCCCATGGCTGCCAGAGTCAAAGAAAATGCATCAGAGAACGATGATACATCCATAAACATATAAAAAAAAAATGAACTACCGAGAAATAAAAGAATTCACATACCTGAATGTACCGATACAGATTAGGAATCAATTGATCTTCCTCGTGACTCATTCCACTCCTAAAATGTGTTTTCCCAACATCGGTCTGCTTACTATACCGAAGGTCACTCTGGGGAATTGATATGTGGCCCATAGACAACATTCCAAGTCCTCCAATTTCTTTCGGTGTGTAGAAGATGACTGGGGGAAACGTGATATCAAACAAGTTTGGTAAGTTTCTAGAAGTCCAAATAGAGAGAAAGAGCTTACACAAGTCAAACAAATTCATTTTACCTGCTAGGCATTTTTGAGTTCAACCCAATCTTAATACGAGTCTAGATCTTATTTTCACATTCTACCAGCAGATCCAGCAACTCTTGCGTGTGAACATTTGCTTCACGGAAATAAGTCATGAGTTCTGTAGCATAAAACAAAGGTTTTCAGCAATGGAACACCTGAGGTACGAGCTAGTTTCAAATACTAAATGCAATCAATATGTACCTATAAGCGCCGTGTTCCACTTGGTGACGATCTTCGTGAATGTTGTCGAATCTGAGGACATGAGAATTTGGCTCACTCGATTCTCAAATACCTTAATGTGTTCATCATTTACCCTTAAGAAAGCAACAGCAGTGCATTCTTTAGTCTGTTCATTCTGCAGATTCCAAACTCCAGCACTTGTGTTGGTAAAAGCCTCCAGGGTCATTCTTATCATGGGCAATATACGTACTTCAAAACCACACCTGCAGTTCAAATAATAAAAAATAAGGAATGTACTAAGTTATACAGGAGGGTCACTCAGTGGAGAGGAGACTGAAAATTGTTCATATAACTAAAGGGCTAAACATACATGCTAAACAACAAGTTCGGGTTATCTTTGCTGTATGCAGACACGAAGCTGTTCTCCCATTCAAGGGTGGTAATACTCCGAGGAAGGCGGTTTTTCATGTCCCAAAACACTTCTTCCAAGATTCACTGAAACAAGAATACCTAGACCGATTAGCAACATGATAATATCAAGAAAACCACTTGTATTCATTATCTGATCAAAGTACAGGCAGTTAAAGAAATTGCATACCATCATGCTTCATGAGCCGCATTCTATCAGCTATTGGCCAGCATTTCTTATTGTTATAACCAACCAAATTTTCATTGTTGGGATCAGGGTGTTTTGTAAGATACCGTTGGATAAGATCCCTAGCCTCCTGCACCTTATCAATGTATCTTGAGTACAATCGAATTGGATGCCGTGTTTCTACTCTGGTGTCATGATAAGTAATAAACTCATTCGGCATTTGTGGTGGTCCAGCTATTTCGCTGGCTCGAGTCAGACCAAGAAGCAAAAGATCGAAAACAAGCCCATAGTACTGCACAATGAATGAAGAAAACTGCAGACCACGTATGAGCCCATAGGAGTTTGTATGACTCATATCCCTGTATGATAATACAACATTGTTCTTTGCAGTGACATAATCAGCAATATTATGGTCAAGAACCAAACGCAGNAAACAGAATCAGTGTAAAAGATACGTTAAGTTGCAAAACATGGGAGGACAAGTCAATTAAAAACCTTACCTGTTCAGCAAGGTTAAATCAATCTTCTCAAAAAAATTCTCAAACTTGGTTTGCAACATGACAACACATTGTCCCTCACAGGTGTCCCATATCCCTTGTAAGTTGTTCATTCCCTGGCACCATTTGTAAACTAACAATGGTGGTGGTTCTGAGTCAGCCGGCTTGATCCAATTCGGGAAAAGGTGGCGTTTATCACCCTCATACCATAGGTACTGATCCAAATACGCATCAATGATCTGCTCAAGAGGCTCAATCTCATTAACAGGAATCAGATAGCTATACAAATCCATGAACTCATTGCCAACCTGCAAATCCAACATTATTCGGATAAGAAACCTCACAAAGAATACAAATATAGACAAAAAATACGTAGAAATAACTCATGCTGAAAAACTTTGAGCAAGTTATCGGGCTGCAGAGACATTTCTGGTGAATTATCTTACAACTTACTTCTTCAAAGGCACATTGTGTTAGCAAATGACGCTTTATGCGGGTCAAAGCCTCATGTGGACTATCATAGGCCTGCTCAATCAAACTCAATTCTTCTTTTTGTAGCTGGTTTAACCTAACAGCCACACTATAAGACTCTTTCAACCTTGCCAGAGAAAGAATAAGGAGCTTTGTATCATGCTACTAAGACAGTGGTGGAAATGGAATCGGAGAAAATTTTCTAGATTCCAGCCAATGCACAGTTGTCGTGTAAATGGCCACTGCTTCTTCTGGTGTGACATAGGGACCGTCTTTCAAGTAATTGTGCTGGCGTTCCTGCAACCAGAAGTGGGGTTGACACACCGACAAACGCACTGTATTGAAATATGTGGTTCTGATTTCCCGTACCAGTAACAATAGCAATAGAGCAAGGAGGATAGTGTACAAACCTGTTCAGCCTTCAACCAAAGACGGGTTAATCTTCCATGATTCTTTCGGCATACGGTCTTGTCTACTGTGGCTCCCCTTCTAATATGGTCCCGATTATAGTGAGCAACATTAGTCCACCAGTCCGCTTTTGATTTGGCATAACGAAGTATCATGTTCTCAATTGGATCGGGCAAACCAGGTACCTTTCATGATAAAAACGAAAGAAGACGTTCAAAGACACGACAATAAGAGAGTGAGTGCGTAGAAAGTAGTTTAAACAGCTGAAAGTACCTTCCAAGGAATATTGGCTTTCCAGCAACGCCATGCTTCACTCAGATGCTGCAAAATTGTTCTTGCTTTATTTTCCCTCATACCTTCTGCAAGAAAAAAAAAAATGAGCATACTCAACAGAAGGAAGAAAGAAACACATGCAACATGCTTGATAAACAAAGGATAAATGATAGGATGCTTGCTTGCCTGGCATTGCATCAAGAACATCATGCATCACAGTAGCACAAAGCTCCAAATCAAAGTGGCTTTCAACTTGCTTCTTTCTCACAGTTTTAGCAACTCCTCTGGAGTGCCGTCCTTCACATTGCCTAGTCAGCAAATTCCCTAGCCATCTTTCAAGGAGAGGAACTATTCCACGGAGGAAAAACAACCACACTCTCCACATGGGCGCCCAAAAGCCACACTTAGGACCCTTCTGATAGTTAATTAAATGCTTCAAGTATTTGCACATTCGGATCTGCCGCATTACTCGATACTTGTATCGGTACATACCCGTTAATTGGCCAACATGTGAAAAGATGTAGTACAACCCTTTAGCCAACTGATATGCGTTAACCTTACCCATCCGGAACTGGATATTCGCATCAACTAGAAGTTTTGTAAGACGCAGAATCACGACAAAGGTGGAAGGCATTACCCAATCGTGATTCTTTGTGTTCCTTAGTTGTAAGTGTCTTCACGGGTTTCAAGTTGAAATTGTAGTCAAGATGCAGGTAATTCAGATTTTTCCTATGGATCAGCAGGTTCAGCATATTGTACCCTTGCTTACAAACTTGTAGGCCTGCTTCAGCCCAATCAAGTTCAGTGGCCTGGAAAAACTTTGTGGCTTGGAGAGACCTTAAGAGATGCCTCTTCTTCTGAGCCTTAGGGGGCCTATGATGCAGTTCATTCAGCACAAAGCACTTCAAAAGTTTTTGGTAACTTACGCGAACTTCGTCAGGGTGTGATTGAGGACTGCCAAATAAAAAAAATATTAAGACCACGATTTTCACGAGCCACAGAAAAGAAATACCACATATGTAATAAACTGTTATTACCAGTGCTCCTTATACCACTCAGACACCAGAGGTATATCTTCAGCAGGCCTTGTCCGACCAGATCGCATGTAAAAGGGTCGTGGAGCAAACAATAACGAAATTCCGGCGGCAGTAGTCTCGGAGAACAAAGGAGTGCTTGCTAGCAACGGTTCAACTCCCTCAGGCAAGACAAAATCATCTTCATCATTAATCTTCTCATCCCGCCTATCCTTGTTTGAACTTGTTATGGGGTGAATAAAAGGATCATAACAGAATGTAGATAGGTAAGGGTCATCTCTTTTCATTTACATTACCATGGGAGTGTGATAGACACTAAGCTTTACTTTTCTCGGCCTATTATTATAAAGATAGGGGAATGCAATCTTGTACTCTTTTCTCAAAGGAGAGCGGATTATGAGTTTATTTATGTCATTAAATTCATTCCAATCCTCATCTTCTTTCTCCATGTCACGGTACAAAGGCTCAAAGTTAGGACCCCCTGCAACAACCATAGTTTAAGAAACATTATCAACTTACATAAGGCAGCACTTCGATATTTTGCTTGTCATCCTAATAGTCATTTGGTATATATATATTAAAGTGGCATGTACTGTTTTACTTGGAATCGGAGCACAAAAACTAAGTTAGCATCTAACATACCAGGGATGCACATGTTTAGAGCTTTGGCTGTGAAGAATGACTCCATGTCAAACAGGTAAAAATTATTGCGACCTATCAGATCTGAGAGCAATGGCTCGGAAGCTTTGTACAGTGTTGCCATAATCGAGAAAGGGAGATGCCATTTCCGGTAACTAGGTCCATTAATGAACTCTGTCCTCACAAGCGGTTTATGATTATAAATCCAATCATAACTAGCTAAATCGTCATCCAAAGTACTAAATCATCCACAGCGCGAAAAATATCAGCGGCTCCACAAAATGCATCTTTAGGAACCACATCTAGAAGGTTATCAGCATAATCTAACGGAGGCTCCTCATCATCAAATGGTGGAATACGCATTATCTGGTTCATACCCCACACCGATTCTCTCATTAAAGTCCACATTGTACTCCACTGCAAAATACAGAATAATTATAAGTATAGAAAACGAAAAAGACCAGATACGCTTAAAATTCACATGCAAAACTAATATACCTGAGCCAAATAGATAGGTTCAACAACCCATGGGATCTCATTAACAAATGTAATTGGCCCTGTAATATGGTACAGGACCTTCACGTGACGGACCTAAGAATAAAGAAAAAATGAGAAATTCAAGGTATCAAACAACATCCACATAACAACAAACCACATTAAAACTGATATAATCAGAAGTTCATACCTTCTCCCAAGGCATTGGCATATTTTCAAGAAGTTTGAACACAGCATGTGGTAAATGTTGGAGAGCTCCTAATACAAGCTTGTCATGGCAATATTTCTTTGATGTCAGCTCACCACAGTCCCTGCAGAAAAGTACTCTGATCAATTCAAACAACGCAAAGAAAGAAAGAAAGCAATGACTGAAAGGAGTCAAACTATATTACATACATAAAAGTATATGACAAATTTTTCTCGCATCAATTCGTAAGAACTCAAATCAGAAAAGTATGTTGGAGTTAAATTACTCACGGACCATAACCAATAGTGGAAAAGTTACCTAAAGACCGAAGAACAGGGAAACCAGAAAAGATACCTTACTTTTCTATGAGTCAATGTGTCCCTCGTTCTTTATCATTAGAAGGAACTTTGATTTTTCTGAGATGTTCGGGAGGCATATCTTCCTTCTGTGGGTTCATTTGAAGTCACAGAAGGAAGATATGCCTCCTGAACATCTCAGAAAAATACACTGGCGGTTGAACAGGCTGTGCTCCGCTGGTCCATGGCGGCGCCGGATTACTCATACTCATTCAGAGAAAGGGAGGGGAGAGAAAGGAAAACTCGTGCAGAGGAAGGGAAGAGAGAGAAAGGAAATGGTGGACACGGGAGAGAATAATCTGTTTTTGTAACTAATTCTGCTACCCCGTAACTGCATGGTGCCAGAGCCGTACGAACGGTCGTAGCCCGCCAAAACACACAGTCTGGCGGACTGGGCGGGCTGGCCCGAAATGGCCGCCCAACCCATCCCCGCCTTGGGCCGCGGGTTAGGCGGGCCAATAAATAAATATTAAAAGAAAAAGTGAAATAAATTAACATTAGGAGGGCTCTGTTCATTTCTGTATGGAAAAGAGAAAAAGAGGAGAAAAAATTGTTGAAGGGGAAAGCCTCGTTCGAATCCTTCGTGACCACGCCAAATCCGCCGTCGAGGGCCGCCTCCGCGACTCCAATCTCCGCCGAGGACACAATCAAGGACATCGACGCCTGATGGTAGTTCAACTGCATCAATCTCGCCTCGACTTGGGGAGAAAATTTTCAGTCACCATTTATCTGTAAATTTGCAATGTAGTCTGTGGAGAAGGGAAGGCCTGGGACGAAGGGTTAACTTATGATTTGAAATTTTTTTTTCCAATTATCGATTTACTGAACCAGAGGGACTCATTGGGCTTTTCATATCATGTTGGGCCATTAGGCCAATAGTCATCCATTACATACCACCCATTTATCATATTTATATTCTAGATTTATATAATTACTAGCTAATACATAAATAAAATCTTTATTTTTTTCCTATCCAAAAGCCTCTCTTTTTTTTTTTTCAATTAATGTGGAACTGTTACAATATGCATTAATGAAATTTAATAATAATTTAAATTAATTTATTATGTAATAATTACTACTAATACTCGCTAATTATAATTTTATATTAAATAGTATGTGAAAGTTACATACTTATAAAAATTTGTATTGCAATTTTTTATTAAGATACTTATTCTATAATAAATATTATTTTTCATCTTATTAAGCAGTTTTTCTCTAATATTAGTTAATTGACACGAGTGTTATAATTAAACTCCTTAAAATTACATAAGTAATTACTATAACAACACTAAAAATAGTTGTAATATTTTTCTAACTAACTAATCATATGGTCCCTCTAAGTTACAAATTACATTGTCCATTAAAATTTATGTCATCAATATAAAGATTCACATGCAAGTTAAATGATTTATATTTATATTGTACATTTGTGTATAGTCAAAAAATTTAAAATGTATAATTTAAAATTTAAAATTTAAAATATTATATATGTACATATAATATATAAATTTTTATTTGTCACTGTGCATGTGCACAGGGACGAATACTAGCTAGTATAGGAAATTACCGTGTGCACTAGACAATATCATTCTTTTTGCCATTATACAGTTCATCTTCCCTATATATTAATTCAGAACGTGCTGAGCCTAATTAAGTGGCAGGCTCGCATACTTCGGGATCCTATGTCGCAAAATTACATGCTTCGTTATTAGGCTTGGGTAGATTTTTAGTTACTTCCAATCCCTAAATAATTAGGTTCGGATTATCCATAAATATATTGATTATTTATGGTCATTTTACATGTATTAATTGCATTTTAATATCATTTCTTATTATAACCATTGAATTGTAAATGTATTTTAAAAGTTATATAATAATTTTTGTATTTTTTCAGTTTAATTTATATATATAATATATCAAATTAATCATCTCTTGATGAGTTTCGATTTAACATTCATATTGTATGTATAAAAAAATATTATATTTATCTTTATAACAATAATAAAATTACTTTTTTGATATTAATTAGAAAAATAAAATTATCTATCAATTAATATATTTATATTTCAAGTAGTGATATGTTATAAGTTATAAAAATTACTATAATATAACACATGTAAGTCGCACATGTAACAAGTGTCATTCTAAAATATATAATAATATATATTTTATGTAAAAAAGTAAATAAAATTTAAAATAATTTTTCTCATTAATTTTATAATTTAAGAATATTTTTTTAACAAGCACTCGTGTAATACATGGGTGTTGTACTAGTATATTTTTATTCGCAAAACCACTAAAATCATCCCATTTATTTGCATACACACCATAATGTTTGTTTAAACATAATTACCTTAGTATATGGAAAATTGCGGATTCAACGTGGTATAACCATAATTCACTGCAATTAAACATAACGTAGTTTGATTCGAAAAGGTTGGCTTGCCTAGCATCACTAAGGATAAGGGATCAAAAATCTCTGATCTGCCTCCGGTTGATAGTTTACAATCAAGGTGGAGGAGGAGAGAAACCAGACGGCGGAGTTAGCGGTGTCGACCGGCTGCGCTCTGGCCTTGAATGTGCTGATTAATAAAGCGTTTATTTTCAGGGTTAGAGTTCTGATCACACTTGCGCTTACACACCTTGGGGCGAGGTTTCTTGTATGGCGCAATCATTTCAAGATGAGTGTGTGATTTTACTTGGTTTGTTCTTTGTTGGTTGGTCATATTTTTCATGATTCTTATCTCTAACAAACTTGGCTGTTAAAAGCAATTTCTTTTGCCGAACTTGTTAGCTTGGCTTGGGAATAAAGATAAGGAGGGGAGTTCTGTATAGTTGTATAATTGTGCTTAAAGATTTCAAATCTTCATCTTGCTAATGGACGTGCATTTTGTACTAAATATGTTTTTTTTGGACATTTTTTACATGATAAGATGACATTTTTTCTGAGCCTGTTAAGACTGAGTTTACAAACTTTCGTGCCTTCTTATTGGTTTGAAATTGTGAAGTTCTGACTATATTTTTTAGATATGAGATTTCGCCTGACAATAGCCATTGAGTGATAATGGTGGAGCTAATGCTTGCTATTCGGTTGGTTCAGCGAATTATAATGTATTTTTGCAGATTTATTTATTTATTTATTTTTTTGGCAGAATAATGTATTTTTGCAGATTCATGTTCTCGAATCTATGATGAACAACCCGGGTATCTTGGAGCAATTTTTCAAGAAAAGTAGGAGAAGTACTATAGCGAATATATATCGAAACTTTTGATTTGGCAGTATATGTTGAGTACAGTTTTGCTATAGAGCCATCGGATTGCTCGACTTACGGAACCATCCACACTTATTCACCAATAGTGTATTGACACGTGTCGTGAACTAAATACAATTTGGACAAGTGTCAATATATTAAGCGGTGGATGACTCCATGAGAAAACCATCTGATGGCTCTATAGAATTTTTGATGTTGAGTATATAGACAATATATTTTCAGTTCAGAGAATTTTTTGTTTGCATTGTTGAAATGACTAATACAAATTTTAGCCATGTTTGGCAAAAAAAAATCTTTTTTAGCCATTTTGACACCTAAAAAGATAAAAATACCCTTATTACCTATTTTTCTTAAAAAAAAAAATCAGAAATCGATATCTGGGCTCCAGAAACGATTTATGGACCCCGAAAATCATTTATGGTCCCAGAAATCTCAAAAATCCCAGAAACGATTTCTGGGACCGAAAATCGGTTTCTGGTCTCGTAAACTGTTTTTGGGATTTCTGGAGATCCAGAAATCGTTTTTGGTCCCAGAAATCCTAGAAATCCAAGAAATGATTTCTAGGTCCAGAAATCAGAAATCGTTTCTGGTCCTAGAAATGCCAGAAATCCCAGAAACGATTTCTGGACCCCGGAAATCCCAAAAACAATTTTTGGAATCATTTATGGATCCTAGAAATAATTTCTGGTACAAGAAATTGATCCCATAAATCGGTTCTGGTTCTAATTTTATTTGTTTTATTATATAATACATTGAATTATATATAAAATATGTTTTTCGACATTGTCATGCCAAAAATATGTAAATTCAACCATCATACATGTATGCTCGACCTCAGTCGCTTTGGAGCTTTATTTGCGCCGAAGTTATTGGCAGAAGGGCGGATATTAAAGCCGAGGGATATAATGAGTGACCTGGAGCGTGATCATGGTATTACGCTCAAATACAATAAAGCACTAAAGTCTCTTAATGTCACGTACGACTTCGTTTATGGAGATCATAATAAATCTTGGGAAATTTTGCCGGGATATTTTCATATGTTGATGAGAGAAAATCCTGGAACCACCACATGCTATGAGACAAATGACGATGATGTGTTCATGTACGCATTCTTTGCCTTACATGCTCCCAACGAATTCACTGATTGTTGTCGCCTTTTGATTATGATTGATGTACCCATTTGAAGGGTCAATATAAAGGCATTATGTTGGTAATAACAACAACAACAAAAGATGACACTACAACAAATGTCATTATTTAAATATGTACCATACATTAGTGCCATCTAAAGTCCCAACAATAGTACTTGCACAAATTTTGAATATTTTTTGCAATGTATTTCTAAAATCAGCCATTTTTTTTTAAAAAAAAATATCAATCAATAGTGTTCACATATCCATGTTTAAAGGTCAAATAATGAGGCGTACACCGAGTCAGTCTACAGGAAACCTTATAACATAGAGACTGAAGCACAAACTTCACTTGTAATGCACTTTCTAATGCATGCTACGGTTTAGCAACTCCTGAAATGATATGTAGAGTTCTTTATTATCCATCCCGAAAATCTCTTCAGCTTTTCTCAAAGTCTCCTGAAAGTACCAAAGCTAATGAATAAGCAAGCCAAAAATCAAAAGAATAAATAAATAAATTAACGTTGAGTAATTAACATAGAATATTGTAGCGAATTCACTGATTGTTGTCGCCTTATGATTGTGATTGATGTATCCATTTGAAGGGTCAATATAAAGGCATTATGTTCGTAATAACAACAACAACAAAAGATGACACTACAACAAATGTCATTATTTAAATATGTACCATACATTATTGCCATCTAAAGTCCCAACAATAGTACTTGCACAAATTTTGTAATATTTTTTGCAATGTATTTCTAAAATCAACCATTTTTTTTAAAAAAAAAATATCAATCAATAGTATTCACATATCCATGTTTAAAGGTCAAATAATGAGGCGTACACCGAGTCAGTCTACAGGAAACTTTATAACATAGAGACTGAAGCACAAACTTCACTTGTAATGCACTTTCTAATGCATGCTACGGTTTAGCAACTCCTGAAATGATATGTAGAGGTCTTTATTATCCATCCCGAAAATCTCTTCAGCTTTTCTTAAAGTCTCCTGAGAGTACCAAAGCTAATGAATGAGCAAGCCAAAAATCAAAAGAATAAATAAATAAATTAACGTTGAGTAATTAACATAGAAATTTCTACTCATTCTCACCTCACGAGACTGCCTTTGTGCATTTAGTTCCTTAATATTGAGCTGAATTGCTCTACTGATAAACGACTCCTGCATTTAGCAATTTTTTTGTATATATAAAAAAAACAAACAAAGTATGTCAAACCATAAGGCGAAGCAACAATTGAAATATTTAGTCAAACTAACATAAGTAAAAAAAAATATCAAACTAAACCTGGCTTGACGAAAAAATTCCTTTGCATCAATTCGAGGAGTGCGGCATGAAAATAGTCCACGAAAATTTTGAAACGTCAAGAACTAATGGAGGGTGTGAGGATTGAGGAATCATACTCAATGCACTTTGATATCTAGTATATTATAAAGAACATGAAAGTATCTCTCCATCTAGGTACAAAATAAAATGCAAATCTTCCATAACGAAATACTCTCAATGTTGAGAGTATACCATCCATTGAGCTTTCTTCAAGTTCTGGGAAATCATCATTTTGTACACGTTGTAATAAACATGGGCATTACTCCACGACTTGTTGTTCCGTTCTCCCTCAAGTTGATCCCTCATCAAAAATAAAAGAAAATGAGTTAATAGGTGTATTAAAAGAAAATATGCATATGCTTTGAAGAGTGATCTATTCAAAAGAATGTTTTGACATGTTTATTTGTTTATTTTTTTATTATCATTTAAGTATGAAGGGACTGATAAGTGGATATCATTATCAATTGTCTTTGGGATACCAGCAACGGTAACCTTTAGACCCCGCTTTCTCAGGAACAAATAAAATCGCTCTGGCATTCAACTACTTTCAAGAACAAACATATCTTCTCAAAATTACATATTTGCTATATGAATAAGAATATCAAATAGCATATTAAATTATATGTTGGCAAACGGGATAGAGCCACTTCCAGTTACGAAACCTGCCATTTCAACATACAAAAATAACAAGAGCAAAAGACTGTTGACAAATCCATTAAACTGAAGACATTGTTTTCACTAGCAATTCCATATCCTAAAACAATTACCTTACCTAAATGAATCTCCACAAAAGATGTTGATTTTCAATTATGATGAATTTATATGTATATATATATAGGGTCACGTTCCACTGAGGATGGTGTTCAATGAAAGAAATAAGAATGAATCTTAGCCATTAAATTTGATGATCCTACGATAAGAAAACAAGCTAATTATTTACACTCATTAAGGTTATGTGGACCCCACTCTATTCACATCTCTCCTGCACACACTTTACACGTATTTACACACATTGTACACTCTCTCTCACACACACTTTACACACACTCTGTACACACACCACTCACACATACACAGACGATTCACACACACAACACAGCCGGCACAGCTCCGCCGCCGCCCGCCGTCTGTCGCCTGCCACCCGCCACCGCCATCTCCTTCCGCCGCCGCTGCACATATGCCGCCGCCGGCGCACTCTATCTGTCCCACACAGAAGACCGCACACAGACAAAACACAACTCACACACACACCCGTCAGTTGCTTTCCGCCACTGCCGATTTCGCCGTTCGCCGCCCGCCGCCCGCCACCGCCGTCTTCCTCACAGTCATCGGCTATCAGCAGAGAATCTCAGAGGTAGCGTCGCCGGAATTTGGGACCGCATCTTGCGAGTCGGGCTTAGTCGCATCTCGAATAGGCTTTGACGGGATGCTCTCTTAAGGTCGAGCACATAAGGCGTGAGTTCCGGAGGGTTGTCGATTTGCAGAGTCGTGAAAGAGGGGCATGAATTAGGGGTGGCGCTGGAGGGCTGTCAATTTGCCGTGAGAAAAGGGGGCATGAATTAGGGCTTGGGCTATTTTTTTGAAAATTAGATAGGTTTGAGGGACCTAATTGCAATTTTATAAATTTTATTTATATTATAATTTGGTTTATGGGTAAAATCTATAATTCTATAAAATTTTAATAATTGCACTTTAATGTACAATTCATCGCACCATATCGTTCGGAATTGCACATTAAAAAATCACTATACAGATTGCACCATATTGTTATACAACATACACTTTACTACATGTGATATTGCACATAATGACCGAAACTGAATGAACTAAAGCTATCGTTTCCAATATAGAAATATCTCAAAAGTGCATATTAATGATAAATAAAGTGTACAAAGTTTAAAATTTTTAATATACAAAAAAGTATTAAAATAATAAATAACTTTTATAAATAACTTTTATAAATAAGAAATAATAAATACGCTGAGAACATCACAGTAGTGTTATATGAATTGCACTTTACCGACTGCCAAGTTGCACCATAGTGTTAGACGAATTGCACATAATGATCGAAATTGAATGAACTAATATTTTTCGTTTCTAAATCATATATTTCGGCTTGATTATCTATTTTTATTTGTAAAATATTTATGTCAGTTCAATATGGACATTATTTTCTTAAAATAACCAAAATAATCAAACCAACTAACTATATAAAAAATAACTTATATATATATATAATTTTATATAAAAATATTGTTTATTTTCAGCTAGAAAAATATAAAATATGAAATATAAATATTAAAAATACTAATTTTTTTTTTATAATTCAAATATTAAGTTATTTATATTATTTACAGTATTTCGGTTACCGATTATTTAAGTTTAATTATTGTGCAATGAACTGATCTGTAATGTGCGATGAATTGAACCGTAATGTACAATGAAGTAAACACTAATGTGCAATGCTTTGAACAATAATGTCCAACTATTAAATTTTTAATAAATTACATATTTAACACATAAATCAAATTAAAATATATCAAAGATTTCTAAAATTATACTTAAGTCCCTGAGACTTATCAAATTCTCAAAAGTTGGCCCAAATTAAAAAACAAGATCTGGTTTAAAAACCCCAACAGATTCCAATCCAAAACAATAAAAGAAATGTGGATTCAGTACAACAAAACGACTCCGTCCATAAGAGCCTTGGGAGTCATCAGTCTAACATCAGAAATCACAATCCAAGATCCAAACGGCAATTAAATAAATTAATTATCTACTGTGTCGAATCACAGTCCAAGATCCAAAACTAGATCTAAAATCCCTCGAATTCAGTACTGATGAATTCTCCTCGCCACTGAAGCACCGCCACCGCCGGCGGAGGCGAATTCTAAGGAGGCGCGCGGGAAGGAAAAGGAGTTGAAGAGCTTTGATGGCTGCGCACTCCGGAACGTGAAGGAGTCAACAATTTGTCCGCCGAAATCGCAAGCCATTTGACGTCGGAGGAGAGATTGGTGAGAGAACCGCCGCCTGATTCTTCGATTTGGCCGTCGACAGGTCAATGGCGGCGGATTTCGTGCGGTTAGCGCTGGATTTTACCGCCGATCGGTCAGGTGACGGTGTCAGGTTCGGCGGCGGGCGTTGGGAACGGTGACTGTGGGGCCGACGGCGGGAAGCTGCTGTCTGCGGCGGCGACCGTCTCGGAGGTGGAGAACCTGCGGCAGGAGGAGGACGTGTGTTGGAGGGGTGTGTGTACTGTGTGTGTGGACTGTGTGTGTGCGTGAGTTGTGGATAAAAAATCTGGTGTGTGTGTGTGTGTGAATTTATGTGAGAGAGTGATAAAAGTAGGTAGTGTAGGTGTGTTATTTAAAATGACTATATTGCCCTTAATGAATGTCAAATGACTAAATTACTCTTAATAAGTTTGACTTTAATCTTCTCTACGTAGCAAATTCTCATTCTTCGAAATCTTATTTGGCAAAAACTCATGCTTTGGAGTTAGGCTTGGATATAAATTCATATTTTTTATCACACTAAATCCATGATTGATTTTTCCTTCTTTACTTTACAATTAGTTATCATAAACTACTTTAAACATTGATAACTTTTGTATTTCTTATCTGTTTTACATATATAATATATCAAATTAATCAGATTTTGATTATTTTCGATTTGACACTCATATTATATATATAAAATAAAAAAGGGTAATATATATTCGTATAACTAAAATTTAAATTTATTTATCAAACTAAATTAAATAATATCAAATAAAACTATAAATTATATTATAAAGTAATAGAAATTGGTATGTATTCTTTTAAAAATGATATTTATTTCAAATCTAATTGGTATGTTGTCAATCTAATAAAAATAAATAAATATTTATCTAAATTCTAAAATTACATATAAAGTTAAAAAAACTGTGAAGCACGACTGATACGACACTTGATGTATTAGGCATCTAATTAAGTAAAAAAATTAATCTATTTTTTTTAATATTAAATAAACATATTCTACACTTATGCATATAATATCACCATATTATTTCTATTTATTTAAGATATATATTTTTGTACTTATGTAATACTAAATAATATTGGTATTTTTAAATGATATAAGTAAAAAAAATTCAACACGGGTTGATATTTTCATTTAATGTATGGGTGTTTAATTATTATGATTAAAAAATATAATTTGACAATTTAATTAAAACCCAAAGTAATGTTTTATATAAAATTAAATTATTTTAGTTTTTGAAAAAAATAAAAAATTTAATACTTTTTACAAAAGTTTTCTAATTCAACACCCGTGTAATACACGGGAATTGTACTAGTTATTAATATTTGACTATATCATAATCATTGATATGTTGGATCTAATTGTTCACATTCATTTTTATTTCTTTCACTATCTACCTTTCTCATATGATCCCTTCTCTCTCTCTCTCTCTCTCTCTCTCTATATATATATATATATATATATATTATGATACACTAGTCCTCACAATATAGCTTTATCCAGGCATGGCTATCAAAAAGTAGTTCTATTCCCTTATGATGATACCTCATAGATCACAGCTGCTCCTTTATGGGTGCCATCTCCTCCAATTATATAAACCTGAGGCAGTGATACTGTTCATCAGAGCATTAGTACAAAATGAACAGTTAGCTTTCAAAGACAAAGATACTCCCTTTACATGTTTCTATTTTATGCATTGTATCCTGAAATACAAACCAAAAGCACGCATTACTATCAAGGAGATTATTGATGTATTGGAAATTTTGAAAGATAACCTGAGTTTTCTGTTGTGACACTAAAACTTATGCGGTAGTTTTTGTAATTATCACTAAAAACGTTTCTCACCTCTTAAGGTCGAGGACTCGACCAATTTCTGTTTCAGCTCCTTCGCCTTCACTTCCTTGAAGAAATCGCGAAATACTTTCTTATTAGTTCCGATTCGCGCACGGATTGACCCGAATCGGTTCGATGCGCCTAGATTTAAAGCTTGCCGTTGATGTCGTCGGGCAATGAGAAAATTGGTGATGTTATAGGTTGCGATGAAAAGATCACTCATTCTTGATTCAATTTTTGTATGCTTGGAGACAGATAAAATACATCAAGATCATACATTGACACAAAGAGTAGCTTGAACAATAACACATAATAAAAGCAAGTAAATAATTCCATTTACTTCCCAAACTAAACAAGTTGATTAAGCATACATCTAGAATAAAAATAATGACGGAAATAATTGTCAGAGATAATTGTTAAAATTTTCCTCACCAGCACTGCACATCTTTACACAACAAACCTGTAGACCAGAATTGATCAGCTAACTTAATGAAACTATTCCATTCGAAGGATAGAAAATAATTCAAATCAAGCCTCTCATAATAGATTATAGACTCATCTATAGGTAATTATCCAAATCAAGAATGTGGTAAGAAAGTCACTTTGACAAAATATTTTTTATATCAAGATCTCAAAAGTCTAACAAGTATCAACCAAGTAAGTAATGATGCCTCCTCAACAACAAAGGGGTTCATATTGTGGTAATTAATTGTAATCGTATTTCCTAGAACATAAAACACTATAACGATATAGACACACTAATTTGTTAAAAACATGAACAAAAAGGTCACTAATCATAATGCACGAAATAAAATTAGTTGTTTTATTACCTGGCGAATTGGAGTTTGTTTGCCCACTCTCCAAATGATTTGAGTTGTTCTCTATCAGGTCATATTCCGGGCACGGTCAAACATCTTTTTAGTTGATTGACCCAACTTTATATTGAGACTATTATATCCACACAATTTCAGTTCAATCAGAGTTTGTTGCTTATTGAGTTTTCCCCTCGAAGTAATTTAGGCTCAATTCGTCGTTTTCGTTCTGGGGGGCCATTCAACTGCCTTCTGGTGCAATTCTTTTGGATGATGCGACGTTAGATTTGTCTCGTTGTCCATAAAATTTCAGTCCCTTCGAAGTTCATTTGACTACTCAATGTTTCATGAGAAATTTACTCTCCAAACAAGGCCACGGGTTTTTTATTGCATATATACCAATATTGCTATAAAACCAACTTGTTGGTTCCCTTATGGAACCAACATCCAATTAGACAGCTCCATGTGGGGCTGTCCCACATGGAACCCTTGTGGGACAGCCCCACATGGAGCAAAATCATTGGGTGTTGGTTCCATAAGGGAACCAACCAATTGGTTTTATTTCCATATTGGTGGGCTGCGTAATTTATGGATCCTCTCCAGACTTTGAAAAGTCACAATCTATGCCATCTTTGAGTAACACCAAAAAATATTCATCCTCTC